AGAGCGCGAGGGATGTGGGGCGGGGTGGGGGGGAGAGGCCTGGAGAAGCGGGAGCCACAGGAGAGAGACAGAGCGGGAGGAGCAGTGCACAGGGCGTGTGTGCGCCAGAGAGATTGCAGTCACCTCTGTTTTCCACCTCCTGACCCCTGGAGCCTCCGCAAGATAACAGCCCCCGAAGAGTGCTGACTTGCCTTTCAGAAATCCAATATCCTCCCCGACTACCTGGCTTGCCAGCTCCCTCCCCCCCCCAGCCCAGGATTAATCCTGCTGCTGAAAATCTTTAATTAGTTTAACAGTTTCAGGCTTCCTGGTGGCAGGAAGCTGAGACACAGACTCCCCCAGCCTGCCCCTCTCCTCGGGACCTCCTGGGAGGCTGCCCAGTGCCCTCTGCCCCACCTCGGAGGGATGTGGGCCAGAGGGGGCTCCCTCCGACGCTCGTCTCCCACCCTCGCAGCTGGAGGAGGTGACTCTGGGAGGGACACAGCCTCTTTCAAGGTGTTTAATTCCGTCTGGGGCTGAGCTGAGGGTGGGGGCAGGCAGCTGTGATCAGGCCAACCTGGAACGGCCCTGAGCCCAGCAGGCAGACAGGGCGGCCAGGGCCACGTGCCAAGGGGGAGAGCTAGCACAGGGCTTGTTTGCTCCAGGGAAACAAGACAGGGAGTCTCCAGTCAGCACCAGCCCTCAGCCCGGCCCAGAGGGGTCCGGGAAAGGTTTTCCTGAACCACTGGCCAGCGGCGCCCGAGGGAGAGCTGTGTCGTCTCCTCAGCCCAGCTAAAAGCCAGGCCCTTCCCCCAGCACCGCGGGCAGCGTCCCATGGGGAAGGACTCGCCGGGCGCAGCCGTGGGAGGAGCTAATGCCGGAGAGGAGCTGGAGGAGGGAGTGCCCCGCGGGACACAGACCAGCCTTGGCACCGAGGCCCGGCGGGGCCATCTGGATTCCAAGGTGCCGTCACGCAGCCGCCGCGTAGACTGGCACGCAGGAGACATTTGCCAGGGCTGCTAACGCCTTCCCTGCGCGCCATAAACAAGGAGGGGCCCTGTGGCACCTCAAAGACCGACACGTTGGGACAGACGGACAGGGCCGCCTCTCGGGAACGAAGCGGGAT